AAAAAAAAAAAAAAAAAAAAAAAAAAAAAAAAAAAAAAAAAAAAAAAAAAAAAAAAAAAAAAGTAAATTTTCTTTATATATACATATCAAAAGCAGCCTCTCGCGCAAATGGTTTCTCTCCTTTTTCCTCTTTGGGAGTGGGGAGCTGCAATAGAAGAAGAGTGAACAAGGGGGCCGGAAAAAGAGAAAGGTGCGAGGTGTCCCGTCCCGAACCAAACTCCGAATCAACCGATCTCCGCCACGTGTGCTTCGGTTGATTAGATAAGGAAGCCGGTTCGGGTCCCACCTTTTTTATTTATTTTATTTCGTCTACGTTTTAAAATCTCTATCTTTCATAAAATGATTGATTTGATATTTTCTTTTAATTTATTTCATAATTTTATAATTTTTAAAAAAAGATCATAAGAAACAAAATAATTATCAAATTAGATTTAATTTTAAATTTATTTTTTGGGATTTGGATTTGTTGGATTCGAGTTTATCCATTAGTGTGAGGGCCCACTGACGTGGCTTCTGGACATTGGACGCGCAATGTTTTTTTTTTTTTTAATTATTATTTGATTGATTTACTGATTTAATTAATGAGAAAACTATAAGATAGTGGAAGATTTTTTTAAAGAGGTTGTGGTCCCCTGCGGTCGAGCCTATTGTAGAAATGTGTGTTTCTTTTGTTTGTTTTGACTTTAAGTAAAGTATCTGATTTCTTTTTTAATTTAGTTTCGAATATTATAAACATTTTTAATTACTCCATTTAATACAATTTTTTAAATTTAAATTTTATTATTTGATTTGCATGATTTTTAAATGATAAAAGAGTACGTATTTTATTAATAATATAGTTCTTTTTCCATAATTTTTTAATAAATAATAAAATACGATGAGATTTAATTTATTAAAATCATATGAACTATGGGATTTTGATTTGTATTGTTTTTAATATTAAAATAGCAAATCATTTTATTTTAAAATATGACAAATTAATTAAATTTAATTATACAAAATAAAATCTTCTTTAACCTCAAATAATTTAATAAGACGATTCCAAAATAAGAAAATGATTATCACAATTTAAAATTGATCTCGATTAAATAATTCATCAATTTAATGAAGGACAAAAGTCAAAACTCATATTTGTTGAAAAATGAAATATTTTTTTAAATAGTTACTTTAAAATTTATAAATAATATATATATATATATATATATGTTGATTTTAGCCACTATAATTAAAATATTAATTAACTTTTTCTTTGTCAAACTTAGTAGCTTGAATTAATTTAATTTTAGTTTTTTATGTTTAAACTTAATAATTGTATTTTAATAAATTTTAAACGTCATCGTAAATATAATCACGATCTCTATAATTTAATCAATATAATTATATATATATATATATATATATATATATATATATATATATATATATATATATATATATAT